GGATATTTGTGGTCTCAACTTTTTTTGTATTGATTTAGTAAGCAAATATGTTGCACTAACAATAATTAACTCTTTTGATTGTTCAACTTGGGCTGTAAGGACATGGTGTTACCCTGAAGGAGTTTTTAAGTTTTGATTTTTAATTATTATTTTCTTTTTCGAATTTATAAAATAAAAGTAAATATCAACCAATTGTGGGTTGACACGTGTCGTGTAGACCTGCAAATAGTGTAAAGATCAGTCCTTATCTAGAGATTTTAAGGATCGGATCCTTAATTTTTTATAGGATCCGTTGATTATTTAATTGTTTTTTCCCTAAGAATTTTCTTTAAGGACTTTCCATTGTGGATGCTCTTAGAACGTATTTTTGGTGTTAATATTATCATATGAACGTCAGGTGCCTTGCCGAAACTTATTGACAAAGGGATAAGGAACCATAGATTATCATTGTGTGTGGGAGGAAGTCAACGGGTTTCTACGGCAATGGTGTCCTGGTTTGCAAGCAGGGAGTAGAAGAGAATGATCAAAAAGGGTTCAATTGTTTTATGAAGTTCGGTCTATTTTTAGATTTGAATCAAACTTCACATTCTAAAACACACATGTTGTAAAAAGTTTTTGTTTAGTTGAATAAATTTAACATTCTTAAAAAATTATTATTATATGAATATGTTCCAACTGCAACATCGTGGCTGACATCCATTCTTGCTTATCTTCCTTTAATTTTATTAGTTTTCGTTGAATCCCTCGTATGAGCAATGTCGTAGCTGATAGTCTGCAAAAACAGTTTTGGCTGATGAGATTGTAGTAATGGCACTCACCTAATATGCTCGACCTATTTAATATAAGTTACTGTTTCAAAAGAAGAAAATAATATGCTCCGGTGCGAAGACCGCATCTTAAAATAGATATAATTTTTCTCTAGTAAAAAAAAGGATCTAACTTTGAAAAAAGAGGAGAAATTAGGCCATATAACTAAGAGAAAAACATATTTAAGTATTTAACTAAAAAAAAAGAGTCACCATTATTTTTATATTATATACTATATTATCTTCAGTGTCCAGTCATTAAAATCTCAAATACCTTCTTCTTTAATTATCAACCATCACCACTGTCATCTCTTTTTTCATCACCACTGCCTCATTTATTGTCACCACTTCCACTACAATCACCATAAATTTGTAATCTTTGTACATTATATTTTTTTTACGCCACAATTCTGTTAACCATCATCTCTTCCTTCATAGTCACCACTGCCTCCATCAACTCTGTTATTCGCTTTCATATTTCTGTCATCGCATTGTTCAAAACAACCATATTTCTTTGATATCAGTCACCACCTCTTCCACCATAACCACCACCTTTTGTATGTATTGTAAATTCTCAGTCTTACTATGCTATTTGGACAATATGGACTATGCTATTGCGTTGTTACTATTCTATTTTAATAATGTTATTATGTACTATGTGCATGTTTTGATATCAGGATTAGGGATTATATTTCTTTTTAGAGCTTAGTGATTAGTGTTTTAAATTTAGTTTATGAAATATTTGGGTTGACGTTGAGGTAAATATTACCTCATTTCCATTAATCATAGATATTTCAAAATTTAAACAATATGTACTATGCTATTTCGTTTGTTTCTATTCTATTTTGATAATGCTTCATATTGTGTACATAGTGCATATTTTGATATTTGGATTAGGGTTTTTATTTTTTTAGGGTTTAGTGATTAGTGTTTGGATTTAGTTTATGAAAGGTTTGGGTTGACGTTGAGGTAAACATTACCTCCTTCCCTTTAATCATAGATATTTTAACATTTGAACAATAGTACTATGCTATTTCGTTTGTTTATATTCTATTTTGATAATGCTTCATCTTATGTACATAGTTCATATTTTGATATTTGGATTATGGTTTATATTTTCTTGTAGGGTTTAGTGATTAGTATTTGGATTTAGTTTATGAAAGGTTTGGGTTGACGCTGAGGTAAACATTACCTCCTTCCCTTTAATCATAGATATTGCAAAATTTAAACAATATGTACTATGCTATTTCGTTTGTTTCTATTCTATTTTGATAATGCTTCATATTATGTACATAGTGCATATTTTGATATTTGGATTAGGGATTTTATTTTTTTTAGGGTTTAGTGATTAGTTTTTGGATTTAGTTTATGAAAGGTTTGGGTTGACGTTGAGGTAAACATTACCTCCTTCCCTTTAATCATAGATATTTTAACATTTAAACAATATGTATTATGCTATTTCATTTGTTTATATTCTATTTTGATAATGCTTCATCTTATGTACATATTTCATATTTTGATATTTGGATTAGGGTTTATATTTTTTTTTGTAGGGTTTAGTGATTAGTATTTGGGTTTGGGTGTAGAAATCAGCATATATGTCGAGAAGGTGAATACAATTCATTTTCAAATATACCTTTCAATTTAATAATTTTACTAATACTTACTATACCATCTAGTTTGTTATATACTATTTATTATTTATGTTATAAAAGATTAATGGTTCCTACATAAGCTAAGTCCATCACTTTCTTTATATCCAAGTTTGTTCTTTAGTTATTTTTTTACCATGTACCTGCACGACATAAGGTTAAAACCGGAAAGAAAATGCATGGAAGAAAGTGTTATCCACTAAATTATATCATATCAATAGGTATATTTTTAGTATTGATCCTAAAATTGGTTATTACACAAATTAGCCCAAAACAAGAAAATAAAATAGGAGAGTACGGGCCAACTACTCGTGAATACACAAGTGTCACTATCTTACAGATAAGATTTGGCAATAAAATCCTAAAAACGTGTGAATCCGTGACATATACTAATGGATACAAGTACAATAACTTATGTATATATACACAACACAGAAACAGTTACGATACACTTGAAAAAGAAAAGAAAAATGTTTACCGAGGAAAAGAAGAAAAATACCAACTATGGATCAACATTTGTCTACTTCTTCGTCTGTCTTGTTGTCGTTGTAGGAGTTGTACGATTTGCAAAACCTTATTACAACCTTCAAAATCTAATGGAGACAGGAGCAGTAATAGAAGAAAGATTGTTCGACATGGAGAAATTAGGGGTAGGTCCATGTGACTTGAGGAGCTCTGTCTCTGTTCCTGGTCGGAAGCACCACAAGCTCTCGACGACAGTAAGGGAAGAGACGAGGACTCGTCCTCCACTTTCGTACTGTGTGAAGTTCGAATCATTTGCCACTATGGCGAACCTGGTCAAAGACAACGGTGACAAGTACGAGTCACGTCCTTTCTCAGCCGGTGGATACAATTGGTACGTACACGTTGGTTCTAGTTTATAAATTATAAGTTGACGTTGTTCTTCCTCTATATATATACTAGGTGTTTTGCCCGCACATGCGGGCTTAATTTTCTTACGAATGTTTATTATTTTTTGTTTTATTAATTCTAAAATAATATTATAAGTTATTTTTATAGTTTTAAAAATCTAAATCAAACATTAAGATATTTTTATATGAATATATATTTAGATTATGGATAATTCTTATCATTATTATTAATTTAAATCATTTATCTAATCAAATAAGTTTAATTATCTTTAAATCAATTTAAAAAAACATCAAAATAAATGATTATTTGCATCCAAAAAATTCGACCTAAAACATTAAACTTTTTTACATGATAAAGTTATTTACAAACTAATTTTTCATTTGAAACTTTGAAAATTTAAAGTCTATTTCATTTCTTCTTAATTGATAAAAAAAATTTGAAAAATTGAATTGATAAATTTACATTCAAAAATTGATCTTACAGAAAGAATAACATTAGTTTAAATAATAATACAATATATTTGAATTTATTTTTGTCAAACACGTATTTTCTTAAGGTTTAACTATATAAAATATAAATATAAATTTAATTTAACGTGTGAGTTCAGAGGCGAAAAATAATTTCACAGATATATATCATTATATTATATTATTATATTCTTTTAATTTGAAAATAACTACGTATTATAAATTTCCAATTTTCTTTTTTGAATTATATACAATTGAAAATTTTACTTTAAGAATATTTATTTATGTGTTTTCAGTTTTTGAATTTTTTTAATTAAAATATATTTTCCGGATAACAACACAATATCTATATAAGAATTATCTTTTTATTTTAAGTATATATTTAGATTATAGATAATTCTTATCATTATTATCAATTTAAATCATTTATGTAATCAAATAAGTATTAAATTCGTTTTTTATTTTTAGCTGATTTATATATTATTTTCATTAAGGGTATAAACGATATTAACCACTCTAACTTTTAACGTGAGAACTCCGTTGCGAAAAATCACTTCGCAAATAATAGTATAGATTAGTGTAGAATCATCTTTACTGTAGATGTATGACATTTTAACACATTGATATTTTTTAACATTTAAAATTACTTAGGCTTGAGGTCAATATAATAACTAATAAAAAAACAAATCAACAATGCAAACATCTAGCACTCCTAGCTAATTAGTTCGGCAGTTTAAGCCTTCCGAAGTATTTTAACTCCGTTGAAAAGTTGCGTCAAAATCTAGTTTTTACATTTTAAACTTTAGCTAATTATTATTTTAACTTCGCAGTTTAAGCCTTCTCGTCAAAATCTAGTTTTTACATTTTTTAACTACTGATAACTTGACCCGTTCTGCTTAATATTGTATAAGGACGCGCGTTCCTCATCTACCCAAACGCGAACAAGCCAGCGGGCTCGGGTGGATACGTCTCGCTTTACGTAAAAATAGATAACTCAAGCCTCATCACCACTCAAAACGAAGTGTATGCGTGGATCAAATTCCTCACATATAAAAGCACTACAGACACGTACCATGAGCTACATGGTACTACGTACTTAACATATTTTTTCTAATCTTTTGTGGTTCCTAGCCTTAACTAGTTCTGATCGGTTTGCAGCTACTGAAGCGCAGAGATTTCATTTGTTTAAACAACAGTATGGAATGCTTACCTTTCTTGAGATTGGATACTACCAAAATGCGGCCTATGGATTCATTTTCAACGGTGGACAGAGTGTGTTTGGTGTTGACATTGTGGTTTCTACACCCTCTGCATGGGAAGATGTCGCTTATGAACAAAACATTCCTGACCCTGTTCTCAATTGGAGAATCATCAAATTCTCTGTTGGCGCTCATGTCTCTTACACTTCTGATATCTTTTCTTCCGGAGGAAGAAACTGGTGACTATCTTCCCCCACATATATATATATATATATACAATATGTTTTCACTTATGTGATGTATATATTATACATAATACAGTATATATTAATTTATATGATGTTATTATATGCCGTATGTATTAACCTATATGATGTGTGTGTAGGATATTGAAAGTGTATCCAAATGGAGTTGGGTCTGCTACTGGTAATTCGTTGTCACTATACTTGCTGAGTGCGTCAAACCAGAAGGGTTACGTGAAAGCCAAGTTTAGAGTTATTAACCAGACTCCATCCAACAATGTGGAGAAACAAGGTTAGAGTCGAAAATAAAATAGAAACTAAATAGGCTTATTTGAAACTAAGTTTTGAGGTGTCATCCCTACTCCCTACGTACAGTGGAGGGATGGCCAAATGCGCAAGAAAATGGATGGGGTGTCGACAAACTTATACCTCTGACAGATCTCAAGGATACGTCCAAAGGTTTCCTCGTCAACGATGTCATCAGATTTGAAGTCGAGATCCTGGCCTTCTCTAGAACCTGACTCCATCTCTAACTAAGGCGTTGTAAGATAATCGTGACTTGTACGTGTGTTGTTGTTTTTCCTATCATAAGTGAATTACTATCACTTTGTTTCCGTCCAATAATAAAGAGTCCGAGCTTTTCTATTATAACGGATGCGAGAAAATAACAAGGAAAACATATAATTAATACAGTGATAAAGCAAACTAATTAATACATATAATTAATAAGTGGTCGCAGTGTCAGGGTCAGAGGGTACCGAACAGGGCCGTAATAGACAAGCAAGAGATGTTGATTTTTAAATTAGCATTGAAGTTTTGTAATAGAATAATTAAAATCCTAAATCATGTTTAAATTTAGGGAAAAAAAAAACTGAGACTTACATAATTCTTAACAAAAACTGACTTAACATGTTTTATACATACATATCCAAGACATTGAATCCTACTGAAACCTGATTCAATGTTTACAAAATATTCCAAAGTGAAATGTGAAAACTAGGAAGAGAAGCCAAATCGTCCTTGTGAGGCTTGAGAAGATCCATTTTCAAAATGTGAAGACTCTCCCTACAACAATCAACATTGGTAACTCCTTCTACAACAACGTGACTTTGCACTTCCTCAGTAATAAGCTTAAAAGACAATAATCATACTTATGTAATACAGAAAGTACATAACTCAAACATGATTCAATAGAGCTTATGTGTTCAACTTTCATTCTATCGGGTTTGGAGCTGTGGGTTTGCCGTCACGCAGTGGGGTCCACCGAATCAGAACTTTTACCCGTCCTTGACCACGGTTCCGAAGATAGTCTTCGCCATCCTACACCGGAGATAACTTGATTGATCTCTACTCGCAAGAAATCACTTACTCACTTTTGGAATTGTTCTCAAAATTGATTTTAGGATTTCTATGTTTTCAAAGTCCAAAATTCTTTTTTTCTTAAATTAGAGCTAACGTTTCTAACAGATAACTAACGTTTGATTTTTTAACCTAATTTTGCATAGAAAATTAATAGTTCAAGATTAAATCTGCATAAGTTGTAGTTGAGTATTAAAAGTGCTAATTATAAATACTACAGGAATTAAAAAGTCATTTTCCCTACAGTTAGTGGGATCAAAAGAACCTAAGATATATACACCACAATATTTTGCATCCTAAAATCCTTTTTGACAACATCATTTCCAGCTGACTAATGCTAACGGGTCACATCATATTCAAAAACGCATCAACATTCGTCTGTGTCAAACTTGATCAATAAGATATTAAATAACACAACGTTAGGCACCAAACTATATACATATATGATTGACGTAAAGCTCACATGGAGAGGGAGAAAGCAACATATATAGCTTGATCGAGATGATAGGAGGGAACTTGGTTTTGATGTATCTTACATAACCAAATTTATCTATGTTTTGTTTAAAAATTTAAAGCTGCCATACAATATTCAGTTTTTATTGCTATGAACAAGGCCCACTTCTGTTCACCACTTCAGCTCCTGAGTAGCTTTGACTTCCACCCACCTACGATATCCTCGTAGTCCTCCTTAAAGAAGTCGCTGATGAAGTCATCCTTCTCCTTCTCCACTGCGTCTAGTTCATGTTTCAGGACTTTCATGAACTGATAAAGCAAACAGAAACATTAATAATTTCAAGTACTATGGTTTTTAAGCATGTCGGTCATTTTTATTAACGCTTCTTACATGATCGGTCCTATCCTCTGCGATTACTTCATCGAATCCAGCATCTTTCAGCATCTGTCCAGCCAAGTAAGGCTAGGTTAATATTGTGATTTTAAGAAGAAAATAGGACAAAGGAGATCTATCTCTGTATACCTGACGGTATGCTTGTACATCATGAAGATCATAACCTCGTTGCTTGATATAGTTTGCAAAATCTGGAGATGGTGTTTTGGGGGTTTCGCAGTAATCAATTGAGAACTTTCCCTCCAGGCTTCAGCCATTTGTAAAATGTTCTGAACAATGCTGGCTTCTCCTGAGAGTTAAGACCGGCGATTACAAACTGGAGACAAAACAAGAATGCGATTGTCTGGAAACTAAGCTAAACAATGGAGACAGTTATAGTTGGATATGCAGAATGGTGTCTCTGCTGTAAATAACATCAAAGGTGTTATCAGGATACTCCCTCTTGGTTCAATCAGCTACTTCAAATTCCACAGAGCATTTGAGTCCTATCGAGTGTTCGAGGGCAAAAGAGATCATGTTTACAAATAGATCAACGCCTATAACATCCATGTCAAAGTTCTCAGCCATGTAGAAGTCCCCTCCTCCGATTCCGCATCAAACATCAAGAAATTTCTGGCCTGGCTTCAGATCCAGCTTAGCCACAAACTCCTTTGTGGTCTCTATATCAAATGTCAAAACAAAAGAAACATAGCATAACATGAAGGAAAGATAGCTTCACTTTGCAGTATAGTAAAAATGGACTAGTAGATAGCTTCAGTTATAGTTATACAAAAGATGTTTTCTATAACTATCAGATAAAACTGTCTTAGTGAGCCGTTGGACAAATTATGGGCCATTAAATTTGGCTAGACATTAAGTTGCCTTGGCCTTGTGGCCATACATGTTGGCTAGCCATTAAGTTCATCAAGACATCAGCACTACAAAGTTGATACAAAACTCGATGACTAAGGAGCATACCGAGTCCCCCTGTGGTAAAAAACTCTTGTCCAAAGACACGCTCAGAGCTAAGATACCACTAGACTTATACTGGACATTGTAGAAGAAGCGTTGGAAGCCCTTGTCATTATCCAAACTGACTTTCTGCCAAAGCCATCAGATCAGAAATTTGTGAAAAACTATAATATCTGAATCCCATTCCATCAAAAGGGTGGCTAAATGTATGAAGAAGCATATATATTACTTGGTTCTGGTTCTTTTTGTTTCTCACATTAGCTCCAACACATTTACAGCTAACCAAAGAGAATTCATACGAATTGCCAGCATCTTCATTCATATGGCATTCTTTGAAAAGCTGAAAGAATACAAAATTTGATTCTAAAATTAAGTGAACCAAACTCGACCCAAATGGATATCCGACAAAATCTAAAATTCAAATCCCAAGAAAGAACTTGTAGTCTTGTACCAAACCCCACCTCAATCCATAATATATATCTAAAATACACTAAGATATTATTAAGTATCTGAAAAAATTATCTGTTACATGCATAATCAACTCAAATACTTAGTCTAATAAATATTTTGGTATTTTGTCAATATTAATGTTTTTAATTTTTACTAATTGTACTTACCATTTAGTTATGAATAAGTTTGTTTGTGATGTTTAAATAATGTTTTTTTTAAATAAATAAATAGTGTTCTTTACATTTATAGAGTTGATAGTTGTTAATTTTAATTTGTTTACGGTTTCATTACGTATGAATTATCGTTCTTACAACACTTTGGTTTGTCATGAATTATCATATATCTGATGTTATCACGTCTAATTCAGAGACGAGTCTCCCAAAGTTATTTTCAAAGAAAGTAATATGGTTTGAAAAAAGTAAAATATACAAATTTAGTGAAAATAATAGAAATATATTGAGTTTAATCAAGGACAAATTAATATTTTTGCGACCGATAACCCGAATAATATCTGAAACCAAAACAATTTCGGGTTTAACCGGATTTTTCACATGTAATTTTACCTCAACCAAACTTGGTTTAACCCGAACTGAACCCAATTCGAACATTTATAATATCCGAATGGATGTTAAAATTTATGATCCTGAAAACCTGAAATCCGAGTAAACCCGAAGCGAAAACTAATTGGGATCGTTAACCCAGCCCAAGGCTCTCAAATGAAAAGTTTAGGCTAGGTTTTTCTTGATTTTGAGTCATCCAACATAATATTTTACGTATATTTTGAGAACTTATTATTAGAAATTTTAAATGAGAACTAGATCTCGACCCGCAACCGTGCGCGTTTTCTTTTTATTTATAGTTTATAAAAAAATTATCAATAAATAATAATATATTTACTTATAAAATCTCGCAAAATACTAAAATAATAGATGTTAAAGTATCATTTTTAAACACAACATGAAAATAAAAATTATCAGTTACAAATATTTATTTGTAGTATATCTAAATAAATGTTAAAATGTATTGCATGCAAATTGCAGAAACTAAAACTCTATATAAAAGAAGATTATATATTTGATTATTTCAAATTATAATTTATGTATCAAACTCAAAAATATATTAGCAAGTAATAACAATCAATAAAAATATAAATTATTATATATAAAACAAATTACTAATATTAATAATGACGAATAAGAAACTTAAACAAAAAAATTATAGAGTTATATAATATATAACATTAAATTTAAATAATATATTTCATTTTTTAAAATAATATGAAAGTGTTATCTTTATAAAATAAAAAAATATGTGTGGGTCAAACTTTAGTATATAGCTTTTTATTTAGGATTTAGGAATATATAGTGCTATCTAGATATATTTTAATATATTAAACAAAAATATTTGTATTTCAAATAAAAGATTTTGATATGGGTATAATATTATGGAAATACAATTTAAAAAAAACGCCAAAAAGTTTTTGTTGGATTTATTTTATTTGTACTTCAAATAGAAAAATAAAAATATTTTAAGATATTATCATTAAATTATGTAACATTTGATAATCTTCATATTTTTTTAAGGAATAGTCAATTAAAAAAAAAATAGACATGAATCAAAGTTGTGACTTCTTTTTTAACATATAAGATGCTCTGAACGTCTTTTATTTTAAACTTTGCTAATATAATGAGATACGATTCAGCTATTAATATTTTAATCGATCATTGATTTTGTTTTGATTAACTCTTCTTTTAATATCAAGAAACCTTGAGGATTCTCTTGGTACCAAAAAAACGAAATCAGGTTTGTGTTCAAGCATATCCCTTCGTGGAAGATGTCTCTTGAATCTGGTTGCTCTAATCGTCTTGCCAACTTCATTGCTCAAAGGAAATAATATATTACATTCGTATGTGGAGAGAAGGTCTCCTAGTTGGCTTCATTTCTTGTGTGAGGTGGTGAGAGTTCACGCTACCTCTTAGAGCACTCCCATTAAAAGATGATGGAGGAGGTTCACACGCAACCCAAAGAAAAAAATATAAAATAATCCAAAAGCTATGAACCCAGGTCACATGGATTCACTGCCATGAATCCGGATCACCACTGTTTCATGGGTCCTATAATTGTCAATTTATTTTTATTTTTTTAAAGAATCAAACAGAAAAATAAAAAATAAAAAATAAAAAATTCAGTTGGTGAATCCCAACTAAGGATTCATTAATGCTGATGCTCTTGGTTTGTTATGTTAAATCTTTTGTTTTGGATATTGATTAGTGCGTAAATATCTTGGACTGCTAAATATGGTTGACTCTTGGTACTTGAACTCGGGTGGTAAGAACGTTAGATTATATCCAATGGTGAATCTTGGAGGGGTTCATAAGTTAAAAAAAAATTAATAAACAATACTATCACATCGATGAATAGTTTAGAATTTGGTTATAAAACCATGTTTAAAAGGCAATTCTTACATTGTTCGTGGGTCCGACTGCCAAATGTCAATCCGCAAGTTGTTCTTTTTTTTTAGTTTAGAAAAAAATAATTGTAAAAAATTGTAAAAAAAATCTAAGAATTTTTGCTAGAGTTCAGGGATGGAGATACACTTATTTTGTGTTAAATAGTATCATATAAATACGTGCCAACGCGAAAACCGCATCCAAAAGTATATCCAATTTTAGAAAGAAAAAGAAAATAAAATAGGAGAATACGTGCCCACTACTGTGTGATACATGTGTTTGTATCCGGTAAGATTTATTATATTATTTGGCAATAAAATCCTACAGACGTGTGAACTCGTGACATATATTAATGGATCAGTACAATAATCTATGTCTATTTATACACAACGCAATAAACGTTACACATACACTCGAAAAACATGTATACCGAGGAAAAGCAGAAAAATACCAACTATGGGTCAATCTTTGTCTACTGCTTCTTCTCTTTTGTTTTCGTTGGGGGGATGATAACGTATGCAAAACCTTATTACAACCTTCAAAACCTAATGGATACCGAAACAGTAATAGAAGAAAGATTGTTGGACATGGAGAAATCTGGTGTACTTCCATGTGACTTGAGGAGCTCTGTCTCCGGTGCTGCTCGGAATCACCACAAGCTCTCAACAACAGTAAGGGAAGAGACGAGGACTCGTCCTCCAATTTCGTATTGTGTGAAGTTCGAGTCATTTGCCACTATGTCCAAACTGGTCACAGGTAACGGTGACAAGTACGAGTCACGTCCTTTCTCAGCCGGTGGATACAATTGGTACGTACACGTTGGTTCTAGTTTATAAAGTACTTTCTCTCTATCATAATGTATGACGTTTTATTTCAAGAACATATATCAAAAAACAACTTTTCTATACAAAAAAAAATCATATCAATAAAATATAACTTAATATTGATTATTTTTTTCTAAATAAAAACAATAAAACATTTTATTTATATTATGTTAATAAAGTTAAAGCGTTATCTACATGTATTCAAATATCTTATATTGTAAAACAATAAACTTCTCTTAAAACATGTTAGATACTAAAACGGATGGAATATAAGTTGAGAATTCCATATCCTATATATATATATGGAATTCCTATATATATATATATTAGTGTAGAATCATCTCCGCTTTAGATGTGTGACATTTTAACAAAATGCTGTAGATCTCATCAGAATCAATTTGTAAATGTTTTAACTATTAATAACTTGACCCGTTTTGCTTAAGGACGTTCCTCATCTACCCAAACGCGAACAAGCCAGCGGGATCGGGTGGATACGTTTCGCTTTACGTAAAAATCGATAACTCAAGCCTCATTACCACTCAAAACGAAGTGTATGCGTGGATCAAATTCCTCACCTATAAAAGCACTACAGACACGTACCACGAGCTACATGGTACTACTTAACCTAAAGAGAGGGTGACACTGCTACATATTTGTTTAAATCTTGTGTGTGTCTTAACTAGTTTTGATCGGTTTGCAGCGACTGAGGCGCAGCGATTTCATTTGTTTAAACAACAGTATGGAATGCTTAACTTTCTTGAGATTGGATACTACCAAAATGCGGCCTATGGATTCATTTTCAACGGTGGACAGAGTGTGTTTGGTGTTGACATCGTGGTTTCTAAACCCTCTGGCACATGGGAAGATGTCTCATATGAAGAAAATATTCGTGACCCTGTTCTTGATTGGAGAATCACCAACTTTTCTATCCGCGATCAAGTCTCTTACACTTCTGATACGTTTTCTTCCGGAGGGAGAAACTGGTACTCTCTCCATATATAATATATATATATATATATATATATATTTACAACACACATATATATAGTATGTATTAACTTATGTGATCTATTATATATACAGTAGGTATTAACTTATATGATGCATTATATGTATAAATTATTTATTATATGTGATGTATGTGTAGGGTATTGAAAGTGTATCCAAATGGAGTTGGGTCTGCAACGGGTAATTCATTGTCACTATACTTGTTGAGTGCGTCAAACCAGAAGGGTTACGTGAAAGCCAAGTTTAGAGTTATTAACCAGACCCCATCCAACAATGTAGAGAAACAAGGTTAGTGCCTAAAATAAAATAAAATAAAATAAAATAAAATAAAATAAAATAAAATAAAATACTAAATAGGCTTATTTGAAAAATGTTAAACTAATTTTTGATCTGTTCCTACAGTGGATGGATGGCCCAACGCAAAGGAAAACGGATGGGGTGTAGACAAACTTATACCTCTTGCAGATATCAAAGACCCATCCAAAGGTTTCCTCGTCAAGGATACCATCAGATTTCAAGTTGAGATCCTGGCCTTCTCTAAAACCAACTCCATCTCTAACTAAGGCTTAAGATAATCGTGACTCGTACGTGTGTTGTTTTTGTTTCACTGTTTTTGTTTCCCAATAATAAAGAGTCCGAGCTTCTTTTTTTAATAACGGATGCGAAAAATAATACGGAAAAATAGAATACAGTGATAAAAGCAAAACCAAACAAAAATTTAACGTCTTACACCAAATTACTACGGGTAAAGAAATGTTTTATTAGTTGGAGGTGATTTCATATTTCATAGGACAGTCAGTAGGATTACAAGAACATAATATATATATAAAAATATTTTGCATGCTAAAATTCTCTTTGACATGATTTCCAGCTAACTAATGCTACCGGGTCACATCATATTCAAAACACATCAACATTTTTCTGTGTCAAACTTGATCAGTCTTAATATCAAATAACACAACATTAAACACCAAATTACATACACATATGATTAAAGAAAAGCTTACATTGAGAGGGAGAAAGCAACATATATAGCTTGAAGAGATGATACGAGGGAACTTGGTTTTGATGTATCTTACATAACCAAATTTATTTATTGTTTAAATTCTTTTAAGCATGCCATACAATCAGTTTTTCATGGCGATGAACAAGCCCCATTTCTGTTCACCACTTGAGCTCCTGAGTAGCTTTGAGTTCCACCCACCTACGATATCCTCGTAGTCCTCCTTAGAGAAGTCACTGATGAAGTCATCCTTTTCCTTCTCCACTGCATCCAGTTCACGTTTCAGGACTTTCATGAACTGATAAAGCAAACAGAAACATTAATAGTTTCAAGTACTTTGATTTTTTAAGCATGTGGGTAATTTTCAGAAGTTCATGTAGAGAAACGTTTCTTACCTGATCGGTTCTATCCTCTGCGATAACCTCATCGAATCCAGCATCTTTCAGCATCTGTTGAACAAAGTTTAGGTGATTTTTGGTGATTTTTAACTAGAAGGAAGGATGAAAAGTTTCTATCTCTGTATACCTGACCGTATGCTTGTACATCATGAAGATCATAACCTCGTTGCTTGATGTACTTTGCAAAATCTGGAGATGGTGTTTTGGGGCATCTGCAGTAATCAGTTATGAGAACTTTCCCTCCAGGCTTCAGCCATTTGTAGAATGTTCTGAACAATGCTGGCTTGTCCTGAGAGTTAAGACCAGCGATTACAAACTGGAGACAAAACAAGAAAGCAATTGTCCGGAAACTAAGCTAAGCAATGGGGAAGCTTATACTTGGATATGCAGAATGGTGTCTCTGCTATAAATAACATCAAAGGTGTTATCAGGATACATCTTCTTGGTGCAATCAGCTACTTCGAATTCTACAGAGCATTTGAGTCCTATCGCGTGTTCGAGGGCAAAAGAGATCATGTTTACAGATAGGTCAATGCCTATAACATCCACGTCAAAGTTCTCAGCCATGTAGAAGTCCCCTCCTCCAATTCCGCATCCAACATCAAGAACTTTCTGGCCTGGCTTCAGATCCAGCTTAGCCACAAACTCCTTTGTGGTCTCTATATCAAATATCAACAAAAGAAAAATAGTATAATATGAGGGAAAGATAGCTTCACTTTGCAGTATAGTAAAAATGGACTAGTAGATAGCTTCAGTTATATATGAAAGATGTTTTTTATAACTGTCAGATAACTGTTTTAGTGAGCCGTTGGACAAATTATCATAAAATTTGGCTAGGGATTAAGTTGCTTCGGCCTTATGGCCATACATGTTGGCTAGCCACAATGTTCATCAAGACATCAACACTACAAATTTGATACAAAACTCAATGACTACGGAGCATACCGAGTCCCCCTGTGCTCACGAACCCTTGTCCAAAGACACGCTCATAGCGTAAGATACCACTAGACTTATACTGGACATTGTCCAAGAAGCGTTGGAAGCCCCTGTCATTATCCGAACTAACTTTCTGCCAAAGCCAGCAGATCTGAAATTTGTGGAAAAAGTATAAGACAGTACAGTACAAATCTGTCTGTATAAAAAGGGTGGCTAAATGTATGAAGAAGCATATATATATTACCTGGTTCTGGTTCTTTTTGTTTCTCACATAAGCTCCAACACATTTACAGCTAACCAAAGAGAATTCATACGAATTGCCAGCATCATCATTCATATGGCATTCTTTGAAAAGCTGAAAAAATATAAAATTTAATTCTCTAGAAAGGTAAAAATATACGGATATAGAGGTATATAACACACCTTTGTGTAAAATTTGGGTTCACGGTAGTGCGTTGGGTTGTTCTTCCGCTTGTTGTCACCAGACTGATGAAAACAAGACTCCCTAAAGAAAATATACCCGCCCACCTTAGTCCATTGTAACATCTTTTTCGCCAAATCTTCAACCTGAAATTTGATGACATTCACTTTTTTGAGGGATATGAATGACCGCCTATTAGAATATTAAATCCCGTCTTATATTAAAATATGGACAAATGTTTAATGTCCTAGCGCATGTCACGCAGCTGAGTGAAGCTAAGATGATTTATGGTGTAGCTTTATCATTCGGTATGCCAAGAAATATTGGCAACTATACCATACTGTCCTTGTATAACTTAATGGTCCAAAAATGCGTTTACGACATGTAAAATGTCGGGATGACATTTGGAAATGCTATCAGATATTTACCAATAAAAAAACTTGTAGTAATAGTAATGTAAAAGTTAATTGGTTACCTCTTTGTCAGAGAGATACATCAGCAGCCAGTTTGAGAAGATCAGATCTGTAGACTCGTTTGAAAATTTCATATCCGGGGATGTGACATCAGCGCACATAAATTTGACATTCTTGTAGTGCCCATTGATGTTTTCATTCTGCAGAGAAGACTCATGAGGGAAAGATGATGTAAGTAGCTAGAGAGCATGGGAGTGAACTAACCTTCTTGATAACGCTATCAATGAAATCAACGGCAATGACCTGGCCGGCCTTCTGAGCTAATTCACTAGTGAAACGACCAATACCAGCTCCAAACTCGATCACCGTTTTCCCTTCAATCGCTGGAAGAAGCACGAGTATCTGGCACGTACACACACAAATTTAAGCATTAGAACCTTTCAACAAATGGCAAAAGAACAACAGAGAACAAAGAAACTGCAATGTCATTTCATACCAAAAAAACTGTGCTGGCAAAGTAAATAAGGATACATGTTGCTTAGGTCTGGGCATATGATTTCAGGTAGAGCACATATCGTTTTTTTATTGGATCCAAATCTTTCAGGTAGAGAAGTTTTGGATTCATATAGATATTCCGTATAATTTTATTTCGGTTAAGATCAGTCTAAATAGTAAGTTAATTTTTATTTCAGATCAATTCTAAATATTTGTATTTTATAAATATCCCAAAAGGTCATTCGGTCCGCTTCTGGATTATTTTTAACCAAACTAAGCAAAAAATACCAAACCACATCTTAAACTCTCTACAAGAAATTGTCATAAATGGATAAATTTTACAAATAGAGAATATCAAATCATTATAACTAAATAATAAATAAAAACAAATAAAAATAAACACATTAAGTCATAGTCACAAACATTTAGTTTTCATATCACGTTATGATTAATTTTTATCGGTCTGAATCTATTCGGATCGGTTTTTATCGAAATCAGGTTGTTCGGATAAAAGAGTTTTGGATCTACATATGTATCCAAATTTTTTTTGTATCTGTTTTGGTTCTTGATTTTTTTTTGTATTTTTGTTGATTTTTAGATTCGCGTAAAATATGCAGGACTAGTTTGCTATTTGGATTGAGTTTCCTGCTGATTTAAATTAGCAAAGGGATACTGATACTGAGACTCATATCATCTGATTTTTTTTTTACAGATAATAACTATAGGCTTACCTCAGGTCGTTCTTCTTTGTCGAGGTCAGCAGCTTTGGAATCAAGCATCATGGCCTCAACGCTCAAACCCACAGAGTGCTCTTTCCAGTAATTCTTCTGGATTTCACGCTCTTCCCCTGAAACTGAGAATACACGATCCACAATCATCAGTAAATCAATCAAGTATCTGGATCTCGAAAAGCCCATTTCCGCTTATGATCGGTTTTATGCTCTCCAGCTATATCATGGCGGGTCCAAAATTCAAATACGGGAACATTAGGTGAGGGCCGTTTGGAGAATCTAGTTTGTCATTACGTGTGTAAGCGTGGTATATCCTACGCCGTGCGATTTGGCTGTTCACGTGTTAATGCACTAGAGTATAGTGTGTCCCACGGAACTATGATTTATGACCGCCATCTAAAATATATCGTATTTTTAGAAGAAAATGATATTACTATGTTCTAGTTTGTTAACAGATCTTGTCTGCTGAACTCGCCTTAATGGCACCACCTAACTTCAGTTAGAGCTTTAATATAAGTGTGTTTAAAGAAAAATGTTCTATTTTGTTAAAAATTATTTATACGTTACATAAATATATTCAGATACATTAGTTGTGACATAAAAGAAAGATACTGTAGATACCAATTATTTATGCACAAAACGTAAGATATCCTATTTTTTCTAAGACAATCTAAAATATTCAAACAATTCTGCTTAAAGGGGTCGTCTTTTATGTTAATAGAACTATATTCAAAATTAGGTTCCACCTAGCTATTTCACGTTGAGAAAAAAAAGGAAATTGACATGTTTTTTTTCTTTGAAAATAGGAAATTGACATGTTGATAGTTACAATTATTATTTTTATAAACTCCACGGAATCTATATAATTTTTTAACTGACAAATAATATAATTATTTGAGGGAAAAGTCTCCAATGAATCTTATAGAACGTCGACTAGGATTACCTAACGCCCTGAAAATCAGAAATTATCATTTGGAAAGTGGAAACTCAGTTTCCATATTTGTGTGTTTAAATAACACTTTACCTATCAAAAGCTAAATTTCAATGAACCAGCAAAAAATTCAATATACATCACGTGTGGTTGTTAAAAGAGGGGAAAAAAGTGAGATGTAGAGAAAGATATATAGGTGAATCTTTCCTCCCAAGTGATTTATGAATAGCCAACTTGAAATTGTATTTTTTCATCTAAGAATATTAGATTCATTTTGAAATAATCGTGGGTTATATAGATACATGGTAAGGATTTAAGCCAGTAGAAGAAAAAAAATCCGGAGATTACAACCGATGAAAACTGGTGAAACAAAATATAACAACAAATAAAGGAGGTTAATTCAGCAATTAAACTATATATAAGAAGGCTTTACTGTATATGAAGGTCTATAAAGTATAATACCTGTGGTTTACTGTACAGTATCAATAACATTAAATAGTGTCTATAGATATACGTTGCCTGGAAAAAATTGTCGTATGTTGACAAGATCATGTACATAAAAATAATGTAAAAGGAATAAAGAACATCTCATGATCAGTACACATTACAGAAAGTGGATACAAATCCGAATATGTGAATTTTGACTGATAATTAAAGTGATTTGTTTGATGGATTGAATGAGGTTTTAAATCCTGTAGTATTTGTAAAGCAGAATTGAAAAGCAAACTTACATGAATTGTTTGGGAAAGAAGGAAGGATGTTGCCATTAGTGTGAATATGAGCCATTTGGTTCACTATTGACAAGAAGAAGAAAAAAATATCAGAGGTTCACGTTTTTTTCTGTTGTGGTTCTTTGTATTGTTCATTCTGTTCTTCCGATCATCATTATATAGGGAAGAAATGTGATTATTTTATTATTTGCTTGTATTTTTATTTTCTTTTGGTTGGAGAATCGGAAAAAAAAAATCTTTCAGTTACTATTTTCATTTTCTTACACGAAATTACATACTGATATGAAAGACAACAAGTCCAAATTTTATAACTAATTAAACGATAATACTCATATATAAAAGCTTAATTAAATAGCCAGTTAGTTATTCTGTTACTGAGAGAAACCAACTATTTTATTTGATTAAAAAGGTTTATGCTTTCCACTACTGTGAAATAAAAGATTCCATATATAACAAAAAGAAAATGAAATAGTATTCCACCTTGTAGTCAAATACATTGATTCTATAAAAATTATATAGGGTTCTTGGATTTGAAGATCATTTAAATCTAAGATTCAAGTTTAGCTTGTGTGTAGGTTATTCAAGTTTAGCTTGTGTGTAGCTTCTTTAAAACATCATTTGCTAACTTTAATGATAATTAAGAAATCCAAGCATCAAAACTTATATAAGCATATATCCTACATCAACCAATATAAAGAGTGGAAAACTTAACTTTAATCCTGGAAGGGAGCTGAGGAACATATCGTTTTAAGACTGGTGCATACAGATAATAGTTGATTTTTTTTTTTTTTTTTTTTTTTTTTTTTTTTTTTGAAACATACAGATAATAGTTGAATAGATTCTAAATTGTTTATATTCACAGATTCGTTTGCTTGTTTCAAGTTGGATTCAGCGATTAGGATGGCCACTTTAAACGTTTTCTTAGCTAGTGATTAGAAATGTGAGGTCATAAAGGCAAACATGAAATAGAGCATTGTTTAGACTTTAGAATAAGTGAGTAACAGTAATAGTCTTTGAGAAGTAGCGAACAGACGGTGATCCCAAGATGCTCCGAATGGGCAACTTTTGAAATGAATCTTTCCATCCAATGGTCTAGAGCCACATCCTTTTGAAATGAATCTATTTTTAGATAAAACATTTTTAGTTGCAAGACCAAACGATATAATCATTAATTAGATTTTGTAAAATAAACTAAAATCTAAAGTTGTAAAGACAACAACAACAATATTGTTCAATCAGAAATCACAATCACTTAAATTCATAATGCAAAAAGTAATTTTTGCGAAATAAAAAGGTTAACATCAGATATCGATATATTATGGTCAAGTTTCAAGATCAGTTACCAACTTAGTTTCAGTAAATAAAATAACTGCACTGCTTAATAGAGGGGGGGAAAAAAAACAAACCGAACCGAGTCAAATTGAACCAACCAAAACGAAACCGATCCAAACTGAATCAAAGTCTATTATCAAATAGTTCGGTTTAAAATTTTTCTAATCCAAACCAAATCGAATTAAACCAAACCGTGAAACTAATGTATTTTTGTTATTATTTAAATTAAACATATTAGCAACACACAATACATTTAAATCCTAACACTAAGGTTATTATCAACTTTATTAATGATGTTGTTTGTTTTTACTTTTCTATTTACTTTTATTAACCTTGATTTGATTGTGTTCTTATAATTTTTTGTGATTTTAAAAGATTTATGTTTCAGTTTTATATTAGATTTAATTTATATAGTTTATTTTTTTAATTTGTTTTAGTTAATTTTTATTTGATTCTGTTCTTATAATTTTTTGTGTGTTTTTAGAAAAAAGTATTTTAATTTTATATTGGATTTAGTTTATATAGTTTTTTTCATAGCTACCAACATGATGATTTTATGATCATGCTTTTCTGTTGTAAAACATGATTTTTCTTCAAAAAACTAAACTAAGGAAATTCGATTGAACCGAACCGAAATACACACAAAACTGAACCGAATATAAACCAAACCAAAACAGATCTAAACTAATTACGGTTTATTTTGGTTAGACAAATTTTAGAACCAAATAACTAAACCAAACAAAAACCAATCTGACCGATAAAATAACTGAAGTGCCCACCCTTACTTAACATAAAAATATTTACATATATGCTAGAAACGGTTGCCCTAGTTGGAAAGCAATTTTGTTAAATCTATTTATTTTACACTGAAAAATGCTGTTATCAATAGTTTTGGTAAAATATTGTTATGAATAGTTACAATAGTAGAAGTGCCGACAAAAAGAAAAGTTACAATAGTAGAAGCCTTATATTATCTTTTTTTTTATATCAACAGAAGCCTTATATTATCTACAAATCTGAATATCCATGATTCTGACCTTTATGAAGATTCTAGAAATGTTAGCATTGTCCGTTAGGTTAGTGAGATACTGAAACTATTATCGTAAACAAGAAAAATCAAAATATCAAGATGACATTGATTTTATAAGAACAAATAACCAAAAGCTAAGAGAAAAATATGGAAGAAAGGAAATTAAGCAAACCACTTGACACTGCTAAGTGCCAACATCCATATAATGGTAAGTTAGTGGGTCTACTATATTTCGTTGGACCACAACTTAATTTAATTATGTTTTCGGCAAATTTTAAAATAAATTAATGAACGTAGCAAAAGCAATTGCCCCTGACATAATATTTTCCTGAATAGTAATTCAGTAATCAACATATGTAAATTTTACTCGTCAAAAATAATTTCAAAATATCAATAAATTTTTTTTTACAACAGTTATTGTTATCCTAATTACTAAAGGTAAAACAGAGTATAGGAGACCTCAGATGACAAGCTTGAAGATTACGATTGTATTAACTTGATTTGTTACAATGATAAGCTTTGATATTTATACAAAGATAAGATGATTCTAGATCCCTGACAGCTAGTCCTGACAGCTCACTCTCCCTGCTCCAATAGCGTTGCAAAGCGGTTACTAAGGATGACTCCACCAGNATAGGAGACCTCAGATGACAAGCTTGAAGATTACGATTGTATTAACTTGATTTGTTACAATGATAAGCTTTGATATTTATACAAAGATAAGATGATTCTAGATCCCTGACAGCTAGTCCTGACAGCTCACTCTCCCTGCTCCAATAGCGTTGCAAAGCGGTTACTAAGGATGACTCCACCAGCTGGTAAGACTGCTACTGTGTCGTGTTGTTTCACTTGGTTTTGTCTTACTGAAGTTGTTACCGTTGCAGGGAGACTAGAGCTGGAAGTGGGCTTCGTGTACTTCATTGCCTGATGGGCCTGCTCACTTGTGTCTTGATATCCATTGGGTCTTATACTCCCGCGCAAACTCGAGGTGGATGGAAACAGAACTCCGAGTTTGGAACGCAAACTGAAGTAACTTCTCTGAGGCAATGACTTCGTAAATACATCAGCTAGTTGCTGTGCTGCCGGGATATGCTTCACTACAAGAGAGCCGTCTGCAACTTTCTCCCGCGCAAAGTGATAGTGTGTAGCAAAATGCTTTGACTTCCTGTGCAAGACTGGATTCGCTGTGAGGTGTACTGCAGATAGATTATCACAGTAAATCTCTGCTGGACCATTTTGCTTTACTCCTATACTCTTTAGCATCAAGCTTATCCAAGCTATTTCTGCAGCTGTATCAGAGAGAGTTCTGTACTCAGCCTCTGTGGACGAACGTGCAACAGAATCTTGTCTCTTGGCCGACCATGAAATGAGGTTTGAGCCGAGAAATGTACAAAACCCTCCTGTAGACCTCCTAGTATCTTGACATCCAGCCCAGTCGCTGTCACAGTACGCACGAAGTCTAGAGTCAGAATCTGATTCCAACTGAACCCCCATGTCTAGTGTTCCTTTAAGATACCGGAGAATTCGTTTGAGGAGATTGAAATCTGAGACAGAGGGAAGATGCATCTTCTGATAGACAATGTTGACAGCAAACTGTATATCTGGTCTAGTCAGTGTCAAGTATTGCAACTTGCCTGCTAGACTACGGAAGTAAGTAGGGTTACTGAACGTTTCTTCTTGATGAGGAACTCTGTCTAGTTGACATGGGAGAGGGGTAGGCATTGGTGCACAGTCTAACATACCAGCAGCTTGAAGCAAATCTGTAGCATACTTCGCCTGGTTCAGAAACAAGCCTGTTGGAGTAAACTGAGCTTGTATGCCTAAAAAATAACTTAATTGTCCCATGTCTTTCATACGGAACTGTTTCTTCAGAGAGTGGAGAAGCTGTTGCAGGAGAACTTTGTTGTTTCCAGTAACTAACATATCATCTACGTAGAGCAGCAGATACATCACATCCTTTCCTTTCAGATAAACGAACAAAGATGGATCCCCTGAATTACAGAGAAAACCAAACTCCAGAAGATATGAGCTGAACTTGTCAAACCACGCCCTGGGGGCTTGTTTCAGACCATAAATAGCCTTTTTCAATAGACAAACATGATCTGGATGCTGCTTGTTTTCAAATCCAGGTGGTTGTTTCATGTAGACAACTTCAGACAAATCTCCATGTAGAAACGCATTCTTTACGTCTAGCTGTTTGATATCCCATTTCTCTGTAACTGCAAAATGAAGGACCATTCTTACAGTGGCTGTTCTGACTACAGGACTGTAAGTCTCCAAAAAATTCACTCCTTCCTCCTGCTCATTCCCTCTAGCTACAAGGCGTGATCTGAGCTTCAAGAAAGTGCCATCTGCATTCAGCTTTACTTTATGTATCCAACCACAACCAATAGGTCTAATGTCTGGTGGTGGAGGAACCAGACTCCATGTGCCTGTCTCATCGCACATGTCCTTCTCTTCCTGCATTGACTCAAGCCAACCAGAGTGATTCAAAGCTTCAGTAAGTGTCTTTGGCACCTGGGGAACACCTTTCACTGTTATCAAAGCATATCTCGGATTGGGTTTTATTACACCAGCCTTTCCTCTCGTAGTCATTTGATGAGTATTAGCAGGAAGTTGCACAGCTGGTATGTCTTGATCTGAGTCAGTGCCAGAGTTACTAGAACTGGAAGAACTTTCAGATGTTTGATGGTGAGGGAGTTCTCCACCGTTTTGCTGAGGTGAGTTGATCACAGGTAGAACATTTGGAGGAGGCACTGTCTTTTTCCTGTATATCTCTTCATCTGGTGCCACATCAGCGACAGACTCTTGTACCTGAGGTTCTTGAAGATGCCAAGCCTTACTCAAGTAGGTGTTTGGTTCAGCAAGCAGATGTCTATAAGTATCTCTGTAAGGGAGACGATCTTCATCAAACAGTACATGTCTGTTGATATATACGCGTCCTGTTGGAGGATGATAGCACCTGTACCCTTTGTAACGTTCATTGTAGCCAACAAATACACAGAGAAGAGACTTGGGATCAAATTTATTCTCTGCATATGGTCGCAAATATGGATAGCATGCACAGCCGAATGCTCGGAGGGATGTGTATACTGGTGGTTTCCCATTTAGTACTTGAAAGGGACTGATCATCTTGGCATTCACAGTAGTAGGAATGAGATTACTCAGGAATGCAGCTGTATAGAATGCTTCAACCCATAGCTTATGTGGTAATAAACTCTGAAACATCATAGATAGCCCAAGTTCTGTGATGTGACGATGTCTTCGTTCAGCTATCCCATTTTGTTCTGGAGTATGTGGGCAAGAGACAAGGTGTTTAATCCCACATGAAGCCAGATGTTCTGTCAGACGTTTGTTTACAAATTCTCCTCCTCCATCGGATTGGAACACTGCTATCTTAGCTTTGTACTGATTTTCGACTTGTAGTTGAAAGGATTTGAAGACAGAATA